GAAAGAGAAAACTTGAGCAACACTATAAACTAACTAGACTGAACAGGCATCTATAGAAAACTTCTCCTAATGATAGGAGAATATATACATTCTTCTCAGGTACACATGGGACATTCTCTAGCATAGGCTATACACTATCTAAGCCACAAAATAAGTCTCAGAAAATTTAAAAGGACCAAAATAATACAAAGTATGTTCTCTAAGAGCAATGGAATGAAATTAGAAATTAATAACAAAAAAATGAGAAACTCACCATTATGTGGAACTCAAACAACATACTCCTAAATAACCAATGGGTTAAAGAAGTAATCAAAAGGTAAATGAGAAAATACTTTAAGATGAATGAAAATGAAGGCAAAACATACTGAAACTTATGGGATGCAGTAAAAGCAGTGGGTTAGAGGGAAATTTACAGGTGTAAATGCCTATATTGAAAAAGAAGAAAGATCCCATGTCAATAACCTAAACTTACACAAAAGACACTGGAAAGAGAACAGCAAACTAAACCTAAAGCAAGCAGAAGGAAGGAAATAGTAAATATTAAAGTGGAGAAAAGTAAAACATGCAATAGAAAAATAGAGAAAATCAAAAAAATCAAAATTGGTTCTTTGAAAAGATTAATAAAATTGACAAACCTTTAGCTAGATTAACCAAGAAAAGCAAGAGGGAAGACTCAAATTACTAAGAGCAAAAATGAAAATGTGGACATTACTACTGACCTTATAGAAATAAAAAGGACTATAAGAGACACTATGAACAGCTGTATGCCAATAAAACAGATGAAATGAGCAAATTCCTAGAAAGATACAAACTACCAAAACTGACTCAAGAAGAAATAGACAATCTGAAAAAAAAACTATAAAACGTAGACACTGAATTAATAATCAAAAAACTATCAACAACAAAATACCCAGGTACACATGGTTTTACTGCTGATTACTAGAAAACATTTTTAAAAGACTTAATACCAATTCACAAACTCTTCCAAAAAACAGAAGAGAAGGAAACACTTTGGAATCATTCTGTGAGACCAGTATTGCTCTGAGACCAAAACCAAAGACAATACAAGAAAACTACAGACCAATATGCTTAAATGACTCTATGGACACCCTGTAGGAAGAAAGAGGAAAAAATACAAAAACAGTAGAAAACTTTTTTTTTTAGCAATCATTTAGATTTTATACTTTGCGTATGTACATATCTCAAAACTTGTCAAATTATATACTTTAAATACATGTAGCATATTGTATATCAATTATATCTCAATAAAGCTGTTAAAAATAGCTGAAATACAAAAAATTATATTAGAATTTTATCATTGCTGATCCAGAGAAGTAACCACAGCTGTCAAAATTTTAGTTAATGTAACCAATTAATAACTGAGATTTGAGTTGCTTTGGCTAAGGTGAAGTAGGTACTACTTAGCAATAAACTGGTTGACAGGCAAGCAAACAGGAACATCAAGGGATCTGAGATCAAGCTGCTAATTTAGTGTTTAAACTATAGTTTGGAGCTTTAAAATTAAATTTTTTTGCTCCTAACTTATAAATAAAGCTTATTAACTAGGAAAAGTCTTATAATCCAGAAGTGGAAAGGGTTGAAAAAAGGGGTCATTTAGATTAAATTCCAGTTAACTTGGATTGGTTTTCTGTTGGACTGGTCCACAAGCAAAGCAGCATTCCAGGACCCTGCAATCTTTGCCACTCTTATATCCTCTTTCAAAAAATGAATGGGGGGGAAAAGGGAAAGGAAGCCTCATTTGTAGGCATTTCTAGCAGAACCCTGTTTTTCCTCTTCTGTTATTATGCATATGTGATATTGTTTTACTTGAGTTATATTTACCCAAACTCCAAGTCACTTTCTATTTCTAAATTGAGCTACTATGGAAGATGAGTTTATACTTAACCCTTATTAGGGGAAGCTTTAGCAGTACACACTGATAGTTCCCAAAACTTTGGAACCAAACACAGCTCCAATTTATTATTTTTATTTTGTTCTTAAATCCTTCCTGCTGCAGTAAAACTAATTCTGGTCTGAGAGCCTAAAGGTGCTTGTAACTAAAATGTACAGGGCAATTTTAGAAGCATGATTTCACTTGCTAAGATATAATGGTTAAGTCTCTCCATTCAAGAAGCCCAGCCAAACCCTATTCCCCTAATTAGAGCTAAACACTGACACTATGTGACAGCAACATTTACTCACTTACTTGTAAAATTTACGTAATTTTAGAGAAAAAAAAGGATACCTGTGTTTTGAATTCCAGAATATTATTTCCCGGATTAATTCTTCCTAGCAATATCAGATCCTTTATCTGCATACATTTGTTTTTAGGAGTTGTGCTGTATTTTGAAGGATTTTTTATAGTATGTTGACGGCCAGACCCAGAGGAGGAGGAGCTCTGACTATCATTTGCATGTGGAACAGCAAGAGCTGATTTTCTAAGATAAGGTTTCACCTGATGCCCCGTATTACTGCCAAAGACATCAATCCCTTGATGTACCAGGGATTCTGATGTCCCCATATGTGGTTGCTGGGAAGCTGTTTTCCTGTTTCCTTTTTTTGGATCACAATTGGAAAGAGCCTGATCACAAATAACAGTTGATGGATTGGCATCATTGTGGGCAAATACACTTGCAGTTTCTGAAATCTTTAATGTGCCAGTTACTGCTGAAGGACTAAAGGACTCATGCCCTTTGGCTGTAGTATCTGTAAGATCATTTTCTTTTTGTGAATATTCTGCTTGAGCAATAAAAGAAATAGGTTGCGATTGTAATTTAATCTTCTTAGTGCCATCTGAAAGTCTGGATTTTGATAATCTATCTAAGGTACAGTCACTGACACTTTGTTTAGAATTCAGTTCATTTCCAGAAAATTCTTCCCTTCTCACTGTCTTTGAATTTAGACAAGTGTTGGTATTTTGGTTGTCATGCCAGATTTCCCAAGACAACTGTGTTTCCTGCATGCTTCCACAAACAAGGCTGACAGGAGAAACTGAACATGACTGGGGCTGTACTGAATTTTCCAGACTAGTAAACTCTTGGCTGTCCTTTTCATTAGAGATTTCTGAGCTCAATGGCAGCTTCTTGAAACTAAGACCAGACAAAGATGTAACATTCTTATAGTTCTGAATTTTCTGGCTTATTTTTTTCTGTTTTTTTGCTACAAGTAAAAGGCTCTTCTGCCTTGTGGCCAAGTTAGCTAGTTGTTCTCTCAGGACTCCATGCTTAAATGACTCTATGGACACCCTGTAGGAAGAAACAGAAAGAGGAAAAAATATAAAAACAGTAGAAAACTTTTTTTTTAGCAATCATTTAGATTTTATACTTTGTGTCAATTTAATCAGCTCAAAGTACACAAGAGTCTATCTTTGCAATGTATATTCTTTGAGAGGAAACTGTTGCTTTACTTGAGGTAAATAAGTTTGCCTTTTTTTTTTTGCTGTATGCAGGCCTCTCACTGTTGTGGCCTCTCCCGCTGCGGAGCACAGGCTCCAGACACGCAGGCTCAGCGGCCATGGCTCACGGGCCCAGCTGCTCTGCGGCATGTGGGATCTTCCCGGACCGGGGCACGAACCCGTGTCCCCTGCATCGGCAGGCGGACTCTCAACCACTGTGCCACCTGGGAAGCCCAAGTTTGCCTTTTTTAGGTGACAGTGTGGTTATCCACATTTATATTCACATCATTACTTATCAGTTGTGAGTCAGCCCTAAAAGAGAAACAAAACTTGGGTTGTTTATCTAGATACCTAGTAGTCCTTTAGCTAGAAGGTATAAATTGATGGCCAAGGAGCAACACCATTCTTTAAGTTTGGAATTCGCTTACCTGTTTACAGTGAAATGGTGTATCAAGAAGTAAAATTTGGGAGTAAGTTCCACCCAAATTCCCTTAGTTATGGAGGACTGAGATTGTTTTGTGAATAATTATAAGTAAGCTAGACCTGAGAAATGTCAACTCACCAAGTACTTATTGTATTGGGTTGGCCAAAAAGCTCATTTGGGTTTTTCCACAAGATGTTACGGAAAAACCCGAATGAACTTTTTGGCCAACCCAATAATTGTACTTTGAATCTGTAGTGAGGTACTTTGAAGTGACTACCCAGATAAGCATTATCCTGTGTGCCCTCCTTAAACCAAGTCTCTCAGGGTCTTGAAGACTGAATGGGAGGAAACTGACTCATCCACACCTGTCTTTTGGTTATACTCACCTATTCCACACTGATCTTCAGGATATTGGACACTTTGTTTTCAGTAGCTCTCAAACTTTTTGGTTTCAGGACTTTTTTATACTCTTAAAAATTATTGAGGAACGCAAAAGAGCTTTTGTTTATTTGAGTTATATCTATCAATATTTACTGTTTTAGAAAATAAGAAAATTTTAAAACACAAGACTACACAAGTGCACATTCCATTAGCTATTAGAGTGATGATATCATCACATGCCATGTGGCCTCTAGAAAATTCCATTGTACACTTATGAGAAAATGAGAGCAAAAGAGGGCAAATAACATCTTAATGTTATTATAAAAATGGTTTTGACTTCTTAGACCCCTTGAAATGGTCTCAGGGATCCTCAGGGACCATCTTTTTAGAGCAGCTGTTTTAAGAGAAAGCAATAGTATAGATACTTGTCTCTCCTAACACAGTTTAGAGTTGTCGGTACTGAACTCCAAACCAACTGGATGTCAAAGCAAGTAGTAGATGTAAGTGGAAGAAGCATCAAGAAGAAATCAGATTAGCAAATAACTGGTAGTATAAAATGCAAGAAGCTGGATAGATAGAGAAGAAAGAAGAAATTAATATCACATTTAAAACTATGTGAAACAAAGAGTTCAGACAGAAAATACAAATGCTCTTTACATTACAAGATTTTAAGGCTAATAGTAACATTAGTATGAAGACACACATATATAAAGGCATATTATTCAGCCACAAAAAAGAAATAAATCCTGCCATTTGAGACACTGATGGATCTTGAGAGTGCTATGCTAAGCAAAAAAAGTCAGACAGAGAAAGACAAATACTGTATGATCTCACTGATATTTGGAAGCTAAAACAAAAACAAAAAAGGCATAGATACAGAGAACAGATTGGTGGTTGCTGGAGGTGGAGGTGGCAGGTGGGTGAAATGGGTGAAGGTAGTCAAAAGGTATAAATTTCCAGTTATGAAATAAATAAGGCATGGGAGTGTAACATATAGCATGGTGACTATAGTTGATAATACTGTATTACATATTTGAAAGTTGCTAAGAGAGTAGACCTTAAAAGTTCTCATCACAAGAAAAAAGAAAAAAAGAATAGAAAAACTAAAAAAAATAATGCTAAAAACAAGAAAAAATAATATAACAAATTTCTCAAAAAAAAAGGATGATAAAAGGTAAATAATCAATATAATCAGGATAAAACCCTTTAAGGACCCTGAGAGTTTAGAAGTACACAAAACCACAAAATATACATGATTAAACTGCTTAGAAGAACAACATTTGTGATAGCATAAAAGAAAAAATTTTAATGTAAAAAATGTGAGTTTACTAAGGAAAGAAATTTACTTATGGAATTCATGACCAGAAACGCTTTCATAAAATTCATGGCTGTAGACAACTTTTTAAGATAGTAAAATGTCCTTTTCTAAACATTTCAAGTAATAAAGTAGAAAAACATCTTTCTAGGAAGTATAATTCCTCATGGAGGTAATAGATTAGATGACCTCATAAAGTCCTTTTCTGGTCCCAAGCAACATTTGTAATCTTAAGAAATTCTAGGCCTATTGTAGATAAAAATAGATAAATTCTGAAAACTCTAAAGCATTCCTATTTTTTTTTTCACTCACCTGTATTTTTTAGCTAAATCATCCCTTTCTGCCTTCTGTTTGGCAAGCACGTTGTCCATAACCTCCTTTATCTCTAACATCTTATCAGTGTATTGTTCTAGAAACATGGTAATAAAATAAAATGTCAGTTAATTGAGAGATAAATGTTAAATTTGGTCACACAGTACTTAGCCTTACTGTTAATTAAAAAGCCATTATTTCCCTAGGAATTACATCACTCTATGGAAGTACCCTGAAGTGTATAAGTAAGAACATGGTAGCAAGAAGAAGCAGGCCAGACTGAATTCTAATCCTGCTACCCCACTGACTAAGCTTTGTGAACCTGGACAAGTCACTGACCTCTCTGGTCAGCGTCCTTACCTGTGAAATGAGGGTAGTAAAGGAAAATAAATAGGAAGATAAATATTTTGTCTGTTAAAATTATGTACTTTTTAAAATACAAAAGGAATACATTGTCAATGTAAAGAAAATCTGCAAATAATATGAATGTTTACGGAGAAGAGAAGTCAGAGTATCCCATTCAACCACTCCTTCTCCTCAATATTTCACTCCATGAAAGAGATTGCTGTTAATACTTTGGTAGGGGTGTGTGTGTGTGTGTGTGTGTGTGTGTGTGTGTGTGTAAACTTTAAAATATATTTATACATTGTTCTAGACTATATTTGTACTATATATAACTTATATGTACTTAAAAATAAGAGTCACTATCAGTTCTTTTTTTAAATTAATTTATTTTTTATTTTATTTACTTTTGGCTGCGTTGGGTCTTCATTGCTGCACATGGGCTTTCTCTAGTGGCAAGTGGGGGCTACTCTTCCTTGCAGTATGCAGGCTTCTCATTGCGGTGGCTTCTCTTGTTGCAGGGCATGGGCTCTAGGCATGCAGGCTTCAGCAGTTGTGGCATGCAGGCTCAGTAGTTGTGGCTCGTGGGCTCTAGAGCACAGGCTCAGCAGTTGTGGCGCATGGGCTTAGTTGCTCTGTGGCATGTGGGATCTTCATGGACCAGGGCTCGAACCCGTGTCCCCTGCATTGGCAGGAGGATTCTTAACCACTGCACCACCAGGAAAGTCCCACACTGTCAGTTTTTGTTCTTTACACTTAACACTTAGATAGGGCTATATGATATATACAGTCACTTATTGATCTATATAAAATTACTTTTATAATAATTAAATTTTTCCTACTTTCTTCCATTGCTTCCCAAGGCATCATGACCTCCTGTATCACAGATTCACAGGATTTACATGTAAAGTCAGTTATGTCCAAACCCAGATTCCCAAATAGGAAATTTCACTTAGATGAATACATTTTATTTCTTTTAAGCCTACCTGCTATTCATTTCATTTTTGGCTTTGTTTCTTAAGCTTTTTCCTAATTCTTTTAGACCAACGCATATTTTTTTAGATAATTTAACTAGACAAAATCAGTGGTGAAAAATGACATGAAGTTCATAGTTGGAATTTACTCCAGAACCTCCCTCTGCAAATCAGACAAATAAGTATAGAGTCTGTTCCCAGACTAGTTTCTATCTCTCTATTATTATGGCAAGAGATTAGTTTCACGATGTGATGCATATGCTAACAAAGGGGAGAAACTTGTATGATAATTAAGAATTTAGATATAAATTTTTTAGCAGATTTGACACTTTAATAAAAAACATTTACATTATCTATGTCTCCTGTTACATTTGGGTTTTCTAACTGAATTTTAAACCACTGGTATAAATAACATTATCATAGTAACCTAAAAGATTCTATATATTTCTATAAGAATGGATATAAAGATGTTTTACATGTAACTTGATACTATATACTTATTTATCAAAGAGACAAAATTAATCAATGGTATCTTAGAGAAAACCTAGAAATTGCCCTAATATGTGTAAGATTTTAATATGTAATAATAAGGCATTGTAAACAATGAAGATGAGAGGAATTATTCAACAAATAAGACTAGGCAAATGGGGTAGTAATACGGGGGAAAACCCTATTCTATCCTTATACCGTATGTGGCAGAGAAATTTCAGTTGAATTATAGAGTTAAGATGCTTAGGAAAAAAAACATAAAATGTTTAAAATGAACATTTTTTTCTGCCTCAATTCAGTTGAGGCGCTAAAAATATCTGACATCAATGTATATAAAACATCAACATGAAAAATTTACAAAGAAATGTACAAAAAAAATTCATTACTCTTGGATCCCTCAACCAGATCAAAGATACAAAAGATGTCAGAATATGGAGGTGGTGACTTTGTAAAGCTGTTTCTTTAGAGAGCTGTAGCTTAACTGGGTGGGATTCTCTATGCTGAGCAGCAAAAGTGAAAGGCGAGGCCGTTTCTCCCCTTTACCTCAAGCCTAAAGGGGGAGTTTCTCAAAGGACTATTAAGAGTGTAACGACTTTCTATTGTGGTGACAATGGACTCATATCTGACTTCCTCTTTGACCTTGAACATCTAGAGGCTGAGACCCTGAAAAGCAGGGAGCTTCTACAGCAGGGCAAGGAGAAAGTTGCTGCTGTGCTAGGAACTGATTGTCCTTCCTTCTAACAGTGGGTGCAAGGAGCCAGGATCTTGAAGACAGTGTGGAGACAGCCCTGTGGTCCTGCTTATGAGGGTTTGTACCTGAGGGTGACAATCTGTGTAAGGTGGACCCAGGAAAAAAAAAAAAGCTGAGAGGAGACTGAGAGGGCCCCGGGAAAGAAAAATGTGCACTGTCACATTATGGGAGCTATGTAGAAGTTTCAGAACAGCCTCAGAAATTTTGTTTTGAAGAAACTTAGTTTTAAACAACTGCAAAAGAGTGATGGAGCCAACCACAGTCAGGACTTGATCACCAGCCAAGAACGTTAGAGTCCTACTGCCTTACCTCTCCTCCCCTAAAGGGGCAATGAGACCAAAAATAGGGCTCATGAATAGAATAATCATGGTGATAACAGAATCGTGGTTATAACAGAATAAAATTAAGTTACAAAGCCTGGGGGTGGGGAGGGGAGGAAAGTTTCTAATCTTAGAAGCATTAAAAGAAACAGCAAAGAGGCTGATACATTCTACTATACAGAATTTGAGAATTTCTGTATTTAAGCACACACTAACATGTTATGAATAAAAAGACAGTTAAGGGGTGAAAAAAGTATTTGTAGCAGTTATGGCAGAAAAGGGTCAATAACTTGATTATATAAAATGGCTCCAATTTATTAACAAACAGGAACAGTCAGTTCACAAAACAGAAAATAAAACTAGTGAAAAAGTACCACTAATAAAATCAATAAGGCAGATGAAAATACAATGCATATTTATTAAATTAGTAAAAATTTTTTTTCCGTAAAATTATTTAAAATGAAAATACTGATGCTATTAGCAGCATAAAGGCAAACAAACACGAATGTGTGTTGGTGGAAGTACAAATTATTATGTAATACTTTAGGAAATCAGTTTGTCAATATGAACCAATAGATTTAAAAATGTTTATACATTTTTGACCCAATAATTTCAATTATGTTAATTTTTCCTAAGAAGATAATCCTAAATCCAGAAAAAACTATGTGTTGTAGTGTAATAGCAAAAAATTACACAAATCTAAATGTTCAACAAAAAGGGGGAAATTAGGTAAACCATGGAACATTTATTGAACATTTACTATGTAACCACTAAGAATGATAACTATGACAAAAAAGAATGTAAAAACAGCACATCTAGCACACCTACCAAAAAAGATATCCTACATCCAAAGACAAAGAAACCACAATGAGACAGTAGGAGGGGTGCAATCACGATAAAATCAAATCCCATACCCACCAGGTGGGCAACCCACAAACTTTAAAATAATTATACCACAGAAGTTCTCCCAAAGGAGTGAAAGTTCTGAGCCCCACATCAGGCTCCCCAGCCTGGGGGTTTGGCAATGAGAGGAGGAGGCCCCAGAGAATCTGGCTTTGAAGGCCAGCAGGGTTTGATCACAGGAATTCCACAGCACTGCGGGAAACAGAAACTCCACTCTTGGAGGGTGCACACAAGGTCTCATGTGCACCAGGACCCAGGGAAAAAAGCAATGACTTCATTTTAGCCTGGGCCAGACCTACCTGCTAGTATTGGAGGGTCTCCTGCAGAGGTGGGGGGTAGCTGTGCCTCACTGCAGGGACAAAGACACTGGTGGCAGTAGTTCTGGGTAGTACTCATTGGCTTGAGTCCTCCTGGAGGGCACCATTTTCTTACTAAGACCTGGCCCCACCCAACAGCCTATGGGCTCCAGTGCTGGGACACCTTGGGCCAAACAACCAACAGGGCAGGAACACAGCTCCATCCATCAGCAGACAGGCTACTTAAAGTTTCCTGAGCACACAGCTGCTGGCTGAACACACCCCTTGACATGGCCCACCCACCAGAAGGACAACACCCAGCTCCACCCACCAGTGGGCAGGAACCAGTCCCTCCCACCAGGAAGCCTGCACAAGCCTCTTATACAGCCTCATCCACTGGGGGGGCAGAACAGAAGAAGCAAAAAGAACTATAACCCTGCAGACTGCAGAATGGAAACAGCAATCTCAGAAAGTTAGACAAAATGAGATAGCAAAGGAATATGTCCCAGATGAAGGAACAAGATAAAACACCAGAAGAACAACTAAGTGAAGTGGAAATGGGCAATCCATCTGAAAAAGAATTCAGAGTAATGATAGTAAAGATGATACAAGACTTTGAAAAAATAACATAGACACGGATTGAGAAGATACAAGAAATGTTTAACAAAGACCTAGAAGAATTAAAGAACAAACAAACAGAGGTGAAAAGTACAATAACTGAAATAAAAAATACACTAGAAGGAATCAATAGCAGAATAACTGAGGCAGAAGAACGGATAAGTGAGCTGGAAGCCAGATGGTGGAAATCATTGCTGCAGAACAGAATAAAGGAAAAAGAATGAAAAGAAATGAGGACAGCCTAAGAGACCTCTGGGACAACACTAAATGCACCAACATTCACATTACAGGGGTCTCAGAAGGAGAAGAGAGAGAGGAAGGACCTGAGAAAATATTTAAAGAGATAATAGCTGAAAACTTCCCTAACATGGGAAAGGAAATAGTCACCCAAGTCCAGGAAGCAC